ACCTCAGCATAGATTTTTTTTTCCTTAGTAAGTTCAGAACTTTCTCCTTTTCACTTAAAGGAAGCACATTATGGCTTCTCTTTGACATATCTGAATTGCCAGCCTCACTACTCTTGTGGTCTGGGACCATTATTAAGCAAAATAAGGGTCACTTGAACACAAGTGCCTCAGTACTGCGACAGCCAATCTGATATTTCGTTGTGCTACTCAGAACAGCACGCGACACAAAACTTATGAATTGTTTACTCCTGGAATTTTCCATTTAATATTTTCGGACTCAGGTTGACAGCAGGTAAATGAAACGGTGGAAAGTGAAACCGTGCAAGTGGGGGACTACTGTACAGAGATTACAGCCCAGGGCTCTGAATGAAGCACCCGACGGCCGGTCTCCTGTTCGTAGTGTGGTCCTAGGCAGCTGTGGCCATGGAGAGTGGGTGGGCTGAGTGGGTCAGCTCCTCCCCCAGGTAGGTGGCCTTGGCTGCTGGGACAAGGGTGGGAAGTGGGTGGGAGGCTGGTGAGAGGCAGAGAACCAGCCAAAGGGCAGCTTGGCTGGGTGTTCCAGAAAGGAGGTTGGCCCAGCAGAGGTGGGGCAGGATGGTAAAGCAGGTTCAGCAGGGCCTCTGGGGGGCCCTCAGAGTGTTTGGTCACCCTCACCAGACCGGACAGAACACCCCGAGAGGTGACATGATTTCAAAGTGGTCTGATAACTATAGATATGAAAAGTGAGAAAAAACTGGTTTGTCCTTCCCATTAGTTGGAGGTAGTCAGTTTCCCTACTATTTGTAAGTATCCCATTGCATTTCTAAAAATCTATACTCTTATGTTATTGTCATAACTCAACACAACTTCAAATCGAAGTTACTCGATGTCATGTGCAGAAGAGAAGGGTTTTCAGGCTCAAGGCGGCCTCTGCAGAAAGAAAGCTTTTCCCTAGTACAAAGGCAGTGAACTTCTAGCTAATTCCTGCCCCATCTTTCCAGCTGGGTAGTCTTCCCCAAGTCTTTTCATCCATCCCCCTGGAGGCTTGGTCTCCTCTTCTGTAAAATGGGCATGAAAATGCCCAGCCACCTACCTACTCCCAAAGAACTGTGGCAATGACCTGCGCAAAGGCCTGAGCTGCCAGCCAGGGCTTTCGGCTGATCTGAATGGTCTCCCGGGTCTCTGTCTCACGCTCCCCACTATTCAGGAAATGAAAGAGACACTGCAGATGTCTGCGCCCAAAATGTAGGGAGAACCACCTCCCGCTGGGGATCTCCCGCCCCTGCGGCTTAAGCAAAGGCTGGCAGATCGAAAGCGAAGGCTCCCAGATCGCCAGGCTCTTGCTGCGGCTTTGACAGGGGGCGAGGTAGGCAGTAATTCCGGGGGCGCGGGGGAGTGGATCCGAGACCCGCGTTTCCTGACCCAAGGCCCAAACGCGTGGGGGCTGCCCTTCCCCGCCCTGCCCCTCCGGTGGCTGCAAAGCGCCCTTGGAGGCCAGCTCGGCGCCCGGGCGCGAGAACCACCCGCTTACCTGCGGCTCCACCAGCCAGCGCAGCTCGGCGCCGCCGGGCGCGGGGGGCGCGGCGCGGAACGCCGAGTACACGGGGATGCGGTCCCGGGTGCTGTACAGGGTGGCGAAGCGCTCGGCGCCCTCGGCGCGCTGACAGATCTTCACGTGGCCATCGGCCGGCAGCCCTGCAGGCGGGGTCCCGGCGTAGAAAAACTGGTCACATTCGCCAAAGCCGGCTTCCTCCTGGCGCACGAGCCGGCCTTGCAGCAGCCCCGCCAGGGCGAGGAGGCTGCCCAGCGCGAGCCAGCGCGCGGCACCCATGACGGCCTCTGCGAGCGCGGCGGGGCGGCCGCGGGCGGGCAGCGCGGGAGGCCGCGGAGCCGGGCTGGGAGGGGAAGTGACAAGCCGAGCGCGGCGCGGCGCGGCGGGGAGAGCGCGCAGCGGGGCTCCGCTGGGCGGCCCCGGCAGCGGGGCGGGTCCCTGTCCAGAGGCCGCGCCTCCCTAGCACCCTCCCTCCATGAAGATGGCTGCGGAGGCCCTGAGCCAGCGTTCGGGGATGCAGGCAACGTCCCCAAGGTTGCACCCGAGCCCGGAGACGCAGGTCACCTGCCGCCGTGCCGCCTCCTCTCTGCAGTCCGCGGAGACGCGCCCCCAAGAATGGAAGGTCTGAGCGAGGTCTGCCGAATCGGCGGGGCTGGGAAGGGACGTCCTCTGGGCTGGGAGCCAAGTAGCCTCCCGAGGCAGCGCGCCCCAGGAGCCCTTAAGGATGCAGAGGGGCGGTCTGAGATGCTCACGGAACTGTGGCTCTTTGGAGCGAATAGGCAGAGACCTCCTCTGAAACCCGCTGAAAATTAGTCTCCCCCTCCTCAAGGAAATGCTTCACCGTCCGCACATTTATACAACTTTGACGTAGTTTTAGCCCATCAAAAGCCCCGAGACTCAAATGAAGAAATCATGTTATAGGAAGTTCTTATGCTAGGCAGACAGCACAGCCCTGCTGTGGTTTACTCTGTGCAAGGCTTAGAAACAAAAGCAGTACCAAGAAAGAAAGGAGACCAGCCAACATGGTTGGTAACGGTTGGTTGACTCGTTACTTCATTCATCCCACTGAGCGCCTTTGCGCAGGCTGGGTACAGTGGTGAACAGGAACAGGGTGCCTGCGGCATGGAGACGGCAGCCTAGTGGGAAAGCTTGTCGTTAATCAAAGAAGCATGTTATTAAAGGAATAATTGAATACTGAATATGCTCTGAGAACCCGACCCTCACGGGGATTCAGGGAATGTTCTGGGGTTTGCCTGAAGATGTGGCCTCTGAGCTGAGACAAGAGGATGGCGTTAACTAGGCAAAGAGGAAAACAGCGTGTCCTAAGGGGTCCCCCGGCAGAAGGGAACATGCTATGTTGGAGGAGTCTAAGGAAGGCTGGTGTGGGTAGAGCGCAGACAACTGGGAGGAGATTCTGAGAAATAGGCTAAAGGAGGAGGCAGGGGTCCTATCATTCAGGGTGTCGTAGGCCAGAGGCCTTGGAACAGTTTTTGGCAGAACCTATAATGAGCAAAAAAGTTTATGAAATAATACTTACACTTAGGACTGGCATTGCAATCTCTGGTATTTCTGTTCTATTTTATTCCATTCAAAAAAAATTGCTGGTAGTAACCCACAAAATTGTTCCTATGACCCACTAATGGCTCGTGACCTGCCGTTTGGAAAGAATTATTATAAATCATGTTGAGGATTTTGATCTTTCAACAGTGGTGACACAATCACATTTGCTTTCTGGGCAGAGATGGGTGAATTTGGAGTGGTCCAGAATGAATGAAGAAAACCACTTGTAATAATCCAGATGAGAGATGGTAGGTCAGAGTAGGGTGGTGGTGGGAGAGAGAGAGCCAGAGCACCTACCAGGGGCCAGGCTCCTTTACTTACATCTCATTATTTAATCTTACTTCCCCCGTGTGCCACATGAGGAGCCGAGGACCAGAGCGTTTTGCTGCTTGCCTAAGGTGGGACAGCCAGTGAGTCCTGAGCCAGATTTGAACCAGGTTTGTCTGCTTCCTAAGCCTGGCCTTTCCTCTAAGTCACAGCAAATCACTAAAGTGAGTCTATAAAGTAAGAGACGAATTGTCAAGAGAACACATTTTGGAGCTTAAAAACTAATTCCTGTGGCCGGCCTCGTGGCTGAGTGGTTAAGTTCGTGTGCTCCACTTCAGCGGCCTAGGGTTTTGCTGGTTCGGATCTTGGGCATAGACATGGCACCGCTCATCAGGCCATACTGAGGCGGTGTCCCACATAGCACAACCAGAAGGACCCACAACTAGAATATCCAACTACGTACTGGGGGGCTTTGGGGAGAAGAAGAAGGAAAAAAAAGAAGATTGGCAACAGATGATAGCTCAGGTGCCAATCTTTAAAAAAAAGAGGACTAATTCCTTACAGGTTTCAGTGCCTGAAAATGTTGACTAGGCTTGGTCTCTAAAATGAAACCTAAATTTGTATTTTAATTTTAAAAAAAAGGCAAACACATGTAGTATGATGTCACAGAAGAGGCTGGACTTGGATTCCCCTTTGATCTGGGGTTGATGACCCTGGTCATCTAGTACTTGTATCTCAGCCAAGTCATCCCACCCTGTAGGCTTCAGTGGTGTCCTCTCATGGGGACGATGGCTCTCCTAGGAGGCTGGGAGGATTATCAGTTTTACAGGATTTTTTATATTTATATTATCATATAGGGTTATATATGCTCTCCGATGTCAATTCATGTTGTCAACTGTGAAGAACTGTGTACACACAATTAAACAACTAGAAAGCAATGCCTCTCCTCCCTGTGTTCTTTGTCCACGTTTCTGTCATGATCCCCATCGTGTTAGGATGTTAATAATCCCTGCAGCTCTCTTCTCTACTAGATCATATACTCTTGGGGACAAGAGTGGTATCTTCTTAGTTTCTGGGTCCGAATGGCTACCACAGAGTCTGGAGTAGTAGATGTCAAGTGTGATGATTAAGTTAGATATATATATATATATATTTTTTTTTTTTAAGATTGGCACCTGAGCTAACAAGTGTTGCCAATCTTCTTTTTTTTCTTTTTCTTCTTCTTCTTCTCCCAAAAGCCCCCCGTACATAGTTGTATATTCTAGCTGTGAGTGCCTCTGGTTGTGCCATGTGGCATGCCGCCTCAGCATGGCCTGATGAGCGGCACCGTGTCTGCGCCCAGGATCTGAAACCCCGGGCCACCAAAGCAGAGCACCGGATCTTAACCACTTGGCCATGGGGCCGGCCCCATAGGTTATATTTTAACAAATGCAGAAAATAAATTCTTGGTCTTCATGAGGAAAGTATTTCTATGACTTGGTTCACTGTTTCTCAAACTTTCTTGATCCCTGTCCACCTTTGATAAGCATAAATATCTCTGCCACTACTCCCCCGCCCTCTGTGGCAGATTCAAGTTTTCCCCAGGCCCCCATCAGTGACAGACACACATATACACAGAACATTTGTACATCCCACAGCCAGGAAGATTTTATCTAACTTTATTTCCTTTAGTTTATGGTATAAAACAATAGAGGTTCCTTTTGTTTGTTTGCCTTCCAAAAATAAAATTATCTTGTAATATTGAACTTACTTTTGCAAATTACAAATGTCCTCGCACCAAGATTCTGGAACATACTACCGGGTGGGAGTGCCTTGAGCTAATTAAAGTTTTTGCTGAATGCTGATTCCAGGGGAAGGCTGTCTTTAGCAGCATCTTTCTGTGTGATACATGGCCCATTGTTGTTCACTGCTCTCTCTCTGGTTGATTGCCTCTGGTCCGCTTTCTCTCCCACTGACTCTCTTCTCACAGGAGAAGAGTTTTCAGACCAGGTCCTCTTGCGCCTCTGCACTCACACCCAGGCCAATCCATAATCTGTCCGTAGCTTTCAGCAAAAGCCTGAAGAGGAAAAGTAATGGCTGATGTGGAATAACTTGACATTCTACTTGCACTTTTGCCATTTGGTTCATTCTGTCCCAGGTTATTTGAAAACATGAGCCAACTAGACACTTCAACTCCCCAAATTCCACCGCCTCATCTCTTGTACCCAGTTTTTAATCCCTTCATCCCCTCCAATCCATTCCCCAGCTGGAATGACTTCCTAAAATAAGTCTGGTGATGTCATCCTACCCTTACAGCCCTTCAGTTGCTCTCCGTTTGCGTTAGGACCATAGGATGAAGCCCGGCTCCCTACCTGACCCCCATCCGTGACCACTGAGATCTGGCTCCTCCCGCTCCGGCCTCATCTCTGGCCACGCCCTCCCAGCTGTCTGTGCTCTAAGCAATATTCAACTTCTTGCAGTTCCTCCAACACACAATGCTCTCTCTTGTCCCTGAGTCTTTGCATCATAAACTGCTTCCCTTGGCCTAGAAATCTCACTGTGCATTCCCATCCCTTCACCTCTTCCATTCAGCTTTTTTTTTTTTTTTTTCCTTTTTTTCACACAATCTGGCTAAATATCAGTTCCTTAAGTCACCCACCTTCCTGACAAGCATGCCCTCACCCCCTGCCCTCTCCTGCCCTCCATGAGGTTAAGGGCCCCCTCTGATTGTGCCTATTGGGTCTAGTATTTCCTCTGAATCATAATTGCTACCTTCCCCCTTAAACGTAAACATAGTGCCTATTATAGGATAATTATTCAATCCACCGAGTGAGTAAATGAATGAATGTAAGAAAAAACCCATCCTCCACAACGCTTCACTTGGATTCTCATTGATCTAATTCACTCACTGATTTTCAAAATGCTTTTAAAACATCTCCTGTTAGCCGGCCATTGTGCTAGATGCCAAGTATTCAAGGGGAGCAAAGTGAGGCCTGGTCCCTGCTCTCATGCACTCATGCACTCATGCCAGGACCTCGCAGTGTTACATGGGTAATCAGAATAGAAAGCAGAAGGTAATTGATCCTCTGCAAGCTGCTCTGCCTTAGACCAGGGGAGGGCAATGCTGGGGAACTTTCATGCAGCCGGTGACTTCTGCAACATTGACTTGGGTCTGTATCCGGCTCCATTCCAGTGTAAGACTGACACAGACCTTTGCACCACAGAACTTGAAGTAGGTAGGGAAGACAGACGGACAAGAAATTACAATACAGTGTGAGAAGTGCTCTTTAAGGGAAGTACTATGTGGTAAGCAGGGGAGAACGGGTTACCTAGGCTAATCTGGGGAGGAGAAGCTCAGGAAAGACAATGGTAATGATGGAAAATCATATTTTGTGCTGAGACATGTTGAAACAATGGCTCGTTAACTAGAATAACAATTTGTACCTTCCTGTATTTGCTTCTTTGACTCTTCTCTCTCTGTAGATTGTCTAGCACATGCATGAAATTGACAAATAATGAGAAAGTTAACCCCATTTGGGTTACTAGGAGAGGTGAGGAAGCTGAAGAGTAGCTCCAATTTGAGTTAGAAGGCATGGTTTATTTTCCTAATAATGACTAAACCTATGAAAACACGCCTGGCTCAACCCTCAAGTGAGAGGCAGAGGCCTGTGTGTCAAAAGGGCTGCTGACGCCCGAGCCAGCAGGAGGCTGAGTCATGCTCACCTAAAATTGTGGGCAGCGTTGTCTTCTTTCTAGCAAACCTAAACTTAGGATGATGTCTAAAAGCAATATTAGACAACTTCAGTTCTCATAGACGAAGCGCACTTGCGTACACACATACCTTCTCTCCCTGTGAGCCTGCACTAAAAAAATTGCCTGGCCCAAAGAACTACTGAGCACCTCTGGGATGTTCAACTGTCTCTTGGATATTTGTCCAGATGTTAAAGGATTACTTCAGGCGGGAATAACTTTGAAGACCTTCATGCATAGAAATGTTTTAAATAATTTTTCTGATACGCCTCAATAAAAAATAATAAATAAAAATTTAAAACATAATTTTTCTGAAACTTTTTTTTTGGCTTTCCATATTTATAAGAAGAGTGTAATGGTTATGAGCTTGAACTCTGGATTTCGATTGTCTGGGTTCAAATGCCGGCTCCTCTTACGGACTGTGTGACCTTGGGAAGATTGTTGAACGTCTCTATGCCTCAATTTTCTCATCTGTAAAATGAGGATAATGTTAGAGCCTACCTCCTAGTGTTGTTTTAAGTATTAAATGCATTAAGATACCATGTTTCATTGATTCTAACACACACACTTTTCACATTTTAACATCTCTGAAATTGAGGCTCATTTTACAATTGACAGTGTAGCTTAGTTTAATTACCTCCGTGGTATATAAAATAGTGGTGCATCTTATAATCAGTGATGTCTTAGATGTGATGAAATTCAGGATACAAAGAGCTTAAAAAACTGCGTAGCACATAAAAAGTACTATGTAAGTATTTAATAGATGATATAGACATAAAATATTGACATAGCTCCTCTAACCTCATCAGAGGCAATCAATATAGCTCATTTTTAAACAACTGTACAGGACGGCAATGGAAAGTAATGACATGATTGGCCCATTCACCGGGAAAGAGAGAAGCTTCTCTTAATACCTGGCTTGGAGTTGGAAGAGACATCTGGTATCCATCCCTCGATCTTAGCCAAGATCTCAGAAAGGTGATATAACTGAGAGCCACTGAGACGTGGGTGCCTTGGACAGGCTAATAATTTGGTGCCCATTTAGACCAATATCCTTTACCTAATTATTTATGGGAGAGACTGGATGATCTGAAACCTGGCAGAGAAGTAAGATGTCTGATGGTGGGGCTCAGCCATTCAACCTTGACCCCAAACCTTCATACACCAGGGAGCAAAGCCCTGCGTTAACCAACATCTCTTAGAAGGACAGTGACCTTCTGGCTGCTTGAGAGGGCCTTTGGAGATTTCACACCTTTCCCCAAGTGGCTGCTCAAGTATTGTTTTCCAGTCATGGACGGCACTCTCCCTAAGAGAAGACTCCATAAATGTATTTTTAAAACTAACATCACATTTCCAGTTATGCTTTCATGAACCTTGGAGACTGGTCCTGTGAGCGATTTCACAGCCTCTTCCCACCAACCTTAATTCAGCTCAACTTCTGGGCCCAAAGGAGTCTGTTTATTCAGATGACAGACACGCAGACATGAGTGAAGATTGTATATTTAGAAAGGGGATCAAAAGGAGCTTCCCTGGCTTTTTGTTTCTTGCTGATTGCATGTCCCCTTTTAAAATATATTCCACTGACAATATAAGAATGCAGAGCATTCTGTTTTAAAACTTCCACATTTTTAATTTTTTTCATTTTGGATATTCTGTATACTTTTCCCCTGTATATTTTTATTTTCTTAGAACAAATATATACTGCCTTTGTATTAAGAAAGTTTTAAAAAACTTTCCAGGAAAAAAGGAAACTGAAGTGGTATTTACATGTTTATAACAGAAAGAAAAAACAGAAAAGTAGAATAAAAATTCTATACATGATATGATTACACTGTGTGAGCATATGCAAAGATGACAGACTGAGAAGAGTTCAAGAATTGTCTTTGCATGATAGGATAGGTAAAATTATCTTATTCTATTTTGGTGTATTTTAAATTTTATATAGAAAAACTATCTTACAAGAGAAAAATAACAAAATACTTCTCTTTTTTTTTTTGGTAAGGAAGACTGGCCCTAAGCTAACATCTGTTCCAATCTTCCTCTATTTTGTATGTGGGACACCTCCAGAGCACAGCTTGATGAGCAGTGTGTAGGTCTGTGCCCAGGATCTGAATCTGTGAACCCCAGGCCACCAAAGTGGAGTATGCAAACCTAATCACTATGCCACCAGGCCAGCCCCAACAAAATACTTTTTTTTTTAAAGCAAATAATATTAAATTCAGTTGAAGTCCGGAAACGACTGTAAATTTAGTGAGCACAAATTTTAGAAAAGCTCTCAGGAGGGTTTCCTTTTCTCCAGTTGTTCCTAGATCCCCACGGCACTTAGTCATTCATGAGGACTCCACTCTTATGACCCAATCACCTCCCAAAGACCCCGCTTCCAAACTCTGTCACCCGTTAAGTTGCAATGCATGAAATTTGGGGGGACACAAACATTCAGTCTGTGGCAGTTGTGTTGAAGACAACAGTCTATGGTGTATTGTCATAGCAGCCCAAAGAGATTACTGCAAATACTAAGTCTTAAGAAGGACTAGACAAGAGAGCCGAGCCAAGCAATTTATCCCTATCTGGAGGAGGCGGATTCAGCCTTCTTGCCTCATCAGAACCTCCATTTCATGCTTGTGTTGCAAGGAAGAATGACTAAGTGCCGTGGGGGTCCATTTAAATTAAGTAGATGGTCTCTTTCCTCCAAATACTGATGGGGATGAAGGAGAAGCTTACTCATTCATTCAGCAAACACGGAGTGCCTCCCTCCTCCCTGTGGCCCAGGCTTAGTGCTAATTACTGGGGGCACAGATTGAATAAAACATGGTCTTGACTGTCCTGGAACTCAAAATCTAAGCTTTCTACATGGTCATCTCCATGCTCAACATGGAACTTTAACCATTTATTTCAGAAATCCACCTGTCTAAGTATCCATTCTAATTACTTATGACTTTAAAACAATTGCTTTTATTTTTATCACTAGGAAAAAAAATTAAGGAAAACAGTCAGTCCTATCTCTCTCTATACGTGTCCGCCTTAGTCTGCATGTAACAGCATCTGGGAATTGTAAAAGAACCCCCCCAAAATGCAGACGAATGGAAAAAGTGCCAGTTTGGGCATCCGGAGACTTTGGTTTACATCTGAGCTCTACCACGTACAAGCTGTTTGAGTTCTCTGAGCCTTAAATCCCTCGTCTGCAAAATGGGATTAATAATACCTACCTCATGTTGTGACATGAGAATTAAATGAAATAACTAATGCGAAGCACTTAGACTATAGCAAAACTCAATAAATGCTAGTTCCTTTCTTCCATAGAATTCCTCTAGGGGTAGGTGGCCAGACTTTCATTTAGGGAAAAAACAAATGCAGTTACCAAAATTTGGAGCTTATAAGATGGATATTTTAGGGCTCTTGTTTTATTTTCAGAAGATCGAACTCAGTTCATAAGCAGGTTAGCTGGAGGATTCAACTCGAAAATTCAATTCCAAATCAAGATAGGAGCTTTGACACACAGAACCTTTCCAACACAGCCCTCCCAAGACCAGCAGACACTTGATCCCTTGGCTTTGACCAAGTCTCAGGTAGCCTTCTAATGCGCTAGCACTGGGATCACTGTGTGCAGAAAATGCTCATTAGGATGATGTCTGTTGTCATGTGGCTATGTGTAGGAGGCATAGTCAGAGAGACACGATCTCTACCGTGGGATGCAGCATTAACTTCCACAAGGGTTCAGGCAACTAGATAAAAATTTGGAAAAAAAAAAAAGGAAAGAAAAGCACGTTCAGTAGATATTAAGAAACACCAATGATCTTGCAGAAGTGAGATGAGAGCATTCTGAAGATGGCGGGGCGGGGGGGGGGGGGGGGCGAGCAACGAAAGTCCCAGCAGTTCATGCCAAGACCCAGGAGACTCATCGTGTGTAACCTCCTCTGATTTGTCTAAAAAAGACTTTATTTTATTGAGAAAAATGGAAAGGAGCAGAAAGAACCATGACATTGGCCACATTCATTGAATTATCTGCTGTCTCCTGAGCTTGCTCTCTGGTTCCCTGATTTTGGCCACCAGTGATGACCAGATGACTTGTCGTTTTCACCACAGACCTGGGTGCTTGTCTCCACGTGAAGATGCCTCCTCTTCATGCGTTATGCTGCCTGCTCCCCCCAAGAGCTCTGCCTGTATTTCCAGTGGCTTCTAGACTGATGACGTAGTTCCTGAGGCTCTTATTGGCCTGTCCCCTTCACCTTGCCCAACATGGTGGGAGCCCCCTGCCTATGGCAGCAAGTTCTGCTATTAAAGTCACTGGGCATTTGAGGGCTTTGTCTTTGCTTTAGGAATCTGCTCCACATGTACCCAGGCCCCAACAATGAGGGCATCTGTTGCAAATCTAATATTAGCAACAAACACACATCACATCATCTTGTATAAAGGGAATATTGAGGGAGAAACATTCGGTCACTAGCAGAGATGTGGCAGCATTAAACAAGGAGCTCAGTCAAATGCTGGGGCTGCCTGTTATCCCGGGAGGGAGGAGAAGAAGGGAGGGAGGAGACCAAAGAGTATAAATCTTCCTTTCTTTCCTTCTGTTCCGCTGTCCTAGGGAAATACGGCATACTCTGCCCAACTCCTACAGTATCTGGCCCCAGGGCAGGCATAGAGGTCCTCTGTGACCCTAGGAGAACACACAGAGGCCTTCGATGGTGAGAGTCAGAAACAGCCATGCCATGCCTAGGCCTAGGCATACAGAAGGTGTGCCTTCAGCAGAGAGTCTACCAAACTAAGTCACCTACCAAACTTTTGTCGGGGCTGGCCCAGTGGCATAGCACAGTCAAGTTTACACTCTCTGCTTTGGCGGCCGGGGGTTTACTGGTTCGGATCCCAGGTGTGGACTTATGCAACGCTTATCAAGCCATGCTGTGGCAGGGGTCCCACACATAAAGTAGAAGAAGATGGGCTCAGATGTTAACTCGGAGCCAGTCTTCCTTAGCAAAAAGAGGAGGATTGGCAGTGGATGTTAGCTCAGGGCTAATCTTCCTCAAAAAAAAAAACTTTTGTCCCTGTGACTTAGAGGACTCAAGGTGTCCTACCTTTTCTCCCAGCTCCAAAGGTGGAGTGAGATCGTTTAGGTTAGTCACCATGGCTTGTGGAATCTTCACAACCCAAAAGGGCTGTTTAGAACAGGGGGCATGTCTCCAGGTCAACGGGCCAACTCTGGGTTCTGGATATGTCTTACTTGGCCATCAGGGCTTTTAAGTTTTTTGAATTAGCTGCCAACATTTAAAAATCTGAAGATTTTTTTTCATAAAATTCCAAGTTTCCAGCTTTTCTAGAAAATTCAGAAAATGACAACCTGTGATCCTCATTCCCACAGAACAGTAGCGACCAGCCCCCAAGAGAGTCCTTGGCCTTACGATGGGGCATGTGCCGTCATCCTGACAGCAATGCTCTCTTAGATAACTCGCCTGAGCCAGGTGGAAATGCTAATTTTCCACCAGGGGTCAAGGGTCTCACAGGAAATGTCAGGAGATCTCCAGCTGGGTTTTCTCCAACCAAGCAGCCCCTGGTGCTGAGAGCAGCGGGCAGGAGCAGAGGAAGGAAGGAGAAAGACCCCATTTCAACGAAATACAAAAACTCCCACCACAGAGAAGTCAAGCCCCATCGTATGGTAACTGGAGGGAGAGCGACACCACCAGCCAACACAGCCTGGACACTGACCTGTGACAAAGAGAAACAGAAACCATGGCCAAGAAGCCTGCACAGAGCCTTGTCACGTGTCCTGCTGGCTGGAATGAGGACTGGGGAATGGCGGGGGCGGGAGAGAAGAATGTGCCCCTTCGTGTCCCTTCGTACTTCCACTGGGCCTGAAGAGAAAGAAAACAAACCAGAACTCTCCCTGGCAGTTGCTGAAGAAGCTTAGCTCCGATCCACCCCTGCAGCCTAACTCCCCAGGGACCAAACGCTGGATGGCTGGTTCTCAACCTTGACTGCACATCGTGTCACCTCGGGAGCTTTAAACGTACTCCAGCCAATTAAAACGGAATTGGGGGGGCAGGGGGCAGGGGTCTAGGCATCAGTATATTTCAAAAGTGATTCCAAGGGGTTAAGAATCAGTGTGCTAGAGCAGAGCTTCTCAACCTTAAACTTGCCCATGACTTACCTGGGATCTAGTTAAAAATGCAGGTTCTGAGTCATACGTCTGGACAGGAGTCTGAGCTTCTGCATTTCTACCAAGTTCAAAGGTGACGTCCGTGCTGTGGGATCTGGATCATGCTTTGAGTGACAAGAAGCTACAGTCCTTTTCCTTTGTCATTTTCAAGGACTTTAGCAGGGAAGACTGCAGGTCTGTCACCTTGAACTCTGAAAGTAATAGCAATAAAAGTAATAATAATATTATTATTAAAATAATACAAAATAAGTGATAATAACGAAAACATCAGGAGTAGCAAGACTTTGTTGTGTGCTTTTTGCCAAATGCTATGCTGAAGTTACACTTGTTTTTAATATTTAACGAGAAGTTGCGAATTTATAGCTTGTTCTTACCTGGGGCTTGTATTAACTTGTTTGATATTCACAACCACCCTTATTGTTGGGGGTACGGTTATCACCGTTTGCATTTTAGGCAAGAGGAAGTTGAAGCACGTGGAGACACAGCAGCTCGCTCGTCCAGGTAACAGTTTATAAACACAGGGCTGAGGTTTGAGCTCAGGGTGTGTGCTGATAACCATTCTGCCACACTGTCCTCCAGTGAGCTGGGGACTCCGGGTGATGAGTCACTTGCCCACAGCCACACTAATAAACGGCAGAGCTGGGCTTCGAGTCTCCATCTGCTTGACTCTACAGACTGAGTTCTCAAAGGGGAAAATGCATGATGGCTAAAGTGCGAGTCAGGGTTCTCGGCACATTGTAGACACATAATATGGCGACTGTTCCCCTGCCTCTCTGATCTCATTTGGTTTTTCAGCTTTCTCCTGGAGTAGTCGGCGTGAACTTTAGACAAGCAGTTTGGGGTGTGTCTCAGTCTATTTGGGCTGTTATAACAAAATACTGTAAACTGAGTAGCTTAAACAACATTTCTTTCTAACAATTCTGGAGGCCGGAAGTCTGAGATCAGGGGCCAGCATGGTTGTATTCTTGGTGAGGGCCCATTTCCTGCTTTATAGACAGCCACTTTCTTGCTGCATCCTCAGAAGGTGGAGGGAGAAATCATTTCTCTCCTGTCTCTTCTTAGGCATTAAAGGCATTAATCCCACTTATGAGGGCTCCACCCTCATGACCTCATCACTTCCCAAAGGCCCACCTGCAAATATCGCCACATTGGGTACTAGAGTTCCAATATATGAATTTTAGGGGGACACATTCAATCCACAGCAGAGGGGAGATAGTGGGAAGACAGAATGGAACATAGGATGCGGAATTTAAATGACCCAGCTCCCTAAAGGGGCCAAGGCATATCATTGGCATGTGCAGAAGAAGGATGGATCTGACATAAGCCACCCTCACTTCCTAGAGTGAAGCAGCCAGGGGACATTCAAAGCCAGCCCCCACCCTCCTATAGAACTGGCAGGGAAGGAATATAGATGCCTGGAGCACCCATCATTCCCCACAAAGGTGGCATGTGTCCATTTGTCAGGCACGACTGAGAAAAATGACCAAGAAGATTGCCATGAGCCCAGGAAACAGCTCTGAGAGTCCCACAGGGCTTTGGCCCTGAATTTGAGGCTGACTGCTCCCAAGAAAAGGTACATTTCTCCAGGGGCCAGCCCGGTGGCGCAGGGGTTAAGTTCCCACACTCCACTTCGGCAACCGGGGTTCACCGGTTTGGATCCCTGTGTGGACCTACGCACCACTTGTCAAGCCATGCTGTGGCAGGCATCGTACATACAAAGTAGAGGAAGATGGGCACAGATATTAGCTCAGGGCCAGTCTTCCTCAGCAGAAAGAGGAGGATTGGCAGCAGATGTTAGCTCAGAGCTAATCTTCCTCAAAAAAAACAAAAAGGATACACTTCTCCAGGGGCTCCAAAACCCAGGGCTTGGGGAGAGCTTGGATATCGTCACAGTTGCTGAGGAGAAGCTGTTTTGTGGTGACACTGCCTGATTGCTTGTCTGTGTCTCCCAGTGGACTGTAAACTCCATATTATGTTATATCCTTAGCCCCCAGCACAGTGCCTGGCACAGCGAGGATGCTTAACAATATTTGTTGAGTGAATGAAAGAAGGTCTTGTATTGGAAAATGAGAAACAGTTTATTTTCTGGCTCTGCAAGTTATTTCAGGCCCCAACTTAGACTGGATGTCTCATTTAAAAGATAATTAGGGGCCAGCCTGGTGGCTGAGTGTTTAAGCTCACACACTCCGCTTTGGCGGCCCGGGGTTTTGCCAGTTTGGATCCTGGGCATGGACATAGCACCGTTCATCAGGCCATGCTGAGGCAGCGTCCCACATGGCACAACTAGAAGGACCTAAAACTAGAATATATGACTACGTACTAGGGGGCTTTGGGGAGAAGAAGAAGAAGAAGAAAATAAAGATTGGCAACAGATGTTAGCTCAGGTGCCAATCTTTAAAAAAAAAAGATAATTAATGTTGGGGCTGGCCTGGTGGCATAGTGGTTAAGTTTGTGTGCTCCACTTCAGTGGCCCAGGGTTTGCATGTTCAGATCCCGGGCAAGGACTTAGCACCCACTTGTCAAGTCACAGTGTGTCAGCATCCCACATGAAAAAATAGAGGAAGATTGGCACAGATGTTAGCTCAGCAACATTCTTCCTCAAGCAAAAAGAGGAAGACTGACAATAGGTGTTCGTTCAGGGCCAATCTTCCTCACCAAAAGAAAAAAGAAAGATAATATAAAAGCAATAATGCTATAATAAGGACTGTTCATTTATGATGTTTCTTATGACACTGTTTCTTATGATGCTAGCACTTTTTTCACTTCTATTGTTGGTTTCAAACCATTTATTCATTCGATCACCAATATGCATTGAGTCCTCACTCTACAGAGAAAACCAAGAAAGATAACAACAAATTGTATTAATCTGGTTTAATCCATGAGATAATCTATAGGCCAAATAAAGTGCTTAGGATCCTAGAGGGTCATATGCAACAATAGTCAAGGTAACCTCACAAGAGAGGGGAAGTTAAGCCACCTGCTTCCTAAGAAGTTTCTTAGGAAGGAGGAGCTTATTCAGTAGACCCTTGACATTCACAAGGAATGGATGCTGAGATCTTTGCAAATTCCTAATCCTAGCACTTTCCTAATATTATCCTTATCTGGAGGCAGGATTTTCCTGGGCACAGCCTCACACTCTGAATCTACCGCCTGTTCAACTCTCATCTCTGATCTCTCACCTACCAGCTGTTTTTCCTGAGAATTCCTGCTGTAGGCTCCCCAGGAGATAGGGGTCTCCTTCCTTCACGCTAACTTCACAGCCTCTGCATTCTTCAAACATGGGCCTCAGCAAAATTCCAAAATATTGACTGCATACCATTGATTTCAGGTTGCTCACAAACAGCTGAAACGGCTTTTTTCAACTTAGTGAATGCCGGGGATCTGCTGTGTCTGCTAGAGTCCCACCTAATTCAATCCAAATCCAAAGTGCCTACTATGAGTCAGACACATGTCACAGTGGCTGGGACAGCAGGGAATCAAAACATATAGCGCTCCTGCTCTCAGGATTGGCATCTGGGAGGAAAGACAGAGCGGTTTTCGGAGCTGGCTGTGAATTATGAGCACTTTCAAAGGCTCTGTGGACCTGAAATTCCTCCATCCCCAGCTTACCTAAACCACCAACCATTCCAATCACTCGGTGGTTTTCCAGAGGAGTAGGCACTAACCGAGTTAAGACACTATGTGCCTAGCCCCCAACCAGATCCCTGCCTTGGCTCCCGCTCTCTCACTCCTGCTCTCCAGCCAACTTGCTAATCTGTAAGCACATTAAGGATGTGCCCACCTCAGGGCATTTGCATGTGTTGTCCCTCTGCCTGTAATGATGCCCCCACTCCCAGGTCTACCTGGTACACTCCAAGACCACATGGCCAAGAGGCCTTCTCCGTCAAAGAAGCCATTTCCCACATCCCCAAAAGGCCGCCATATCAAATATAGCAGCCCTGTCACTCTCTACCCCCTTAACCTGCTGTGTTTTTCCTCATAGCCCTTACAATTCCGTGACATGTTACTATATGTCACTCTTTATAATGAGAATATGGGCTCCAGGAGAGTTGAAACTTTGCCTTTTTCACTCTTGTGTCCCCAATTCCAAGAACAGTGCCTGATACACAGTAAGTGCTCAGCAAACGTGCTGAATGAATGAATGAATGGGCCCTGAAATGCATAGACACGATGTGAATCTTCTGAGAAGGGGCTCTGAGGGAGGGGAAGAGAAAAGATGCCCTCTGAGGTCCCCAGGCCTGGATGCAGTCCTTTTTAGGTGGAGGGGCCCTGAGCAATCAGGCCACAAGGATACTAGAGGTGAGATAAGAAAATGCAGAAACCCAGCAACACAAATCTTACTTATTTGTGGGATGTCCCCTCCAACAATGACCCCCTTTCCCCACATTGCTCAGTTCTGCCCCGCCTCAATTCTCCCTGAAATTTTTTATCTCCATAACATCCACCAGTTGCTTAGGACAAGTGAGAAGGGTCTCACTCTCACCCCACAGTCACTGCAGGTCGGTGGCAATAAGGGACAACAAGAGCACATGAGGAATTTCAGCTTGAGAAGGTGGCGAGCAGACAGTGATGGGTGAGGCAGCTGGAGCAAAGGGCTGCTCCTGACCAGCGTTCTGTTCAACTCAGATTGGTTTCCTTTCCACTTATCTCTGTAGCCAATTCCCAGCAACTGTCTGTGGTTTCCTACTTTAAGTGATAAAAGGTAACACATACACTGGAGGGGAAAAGCAACTTCAAATCCGTATGTAGCCACAACCCAATGAAATAAATACTATGGTGAAGTTCTTTCTAAATTTCTGGAAAGGACTCCTTACATACACAAAAACTGAATTGGTGTAATGGTTAATCTTTACAAATAATTCAGTGTGGCCAGGTAGTCAGACAAATTCAAAACTGAAACTTTCGATAAATCTTAGAAGCGTCCCAAGGCCCGAACACCAGCCTCTACTAGTTGCATTCAAGTACAGCTTCTAATGTCCGTCTTACAAGTTTTGGCTTATAAGTAATAATGATAAAAGCTAATATTTATTTAGCACAAACTATGTTTGCACTGGTCTGATCTTGTTGTGTGTAAACTCTAGCACAGGTGCAATGTGGCTAGAAGCTCCTTTTGCCTAAATAGGGAAGTGGAGAGTTGGAGGAAAGGTTGATTTATTGAAAGATTACTCAACAAGTCAGTGTAGGAGTCTGAAGGAAGGTTGGGTCCTCCGGCTCCTGACTGTTTATGAAATCTTGACCTTGCCTTGGTAACATTGCAACAAGGCCAAACACGACAAGGAGTGGAATTTCAAATAAGCATGTGTGCCCCTTTGTTCAAATATGTGGTAGGTCATGAGAAAAAAGAACAGTTCTTTACCAGTAAAAATGACGGGTGGTAGTCAGTCTGGCAGTTTCTTACAAAACTAAATATGCTCTTACCGTATTCCAGCATTCATGCTCCTTGTTATTTACCCAAATGAGTTAAAAACTTACATCCACACAAAAACCTGCACGTG